TTACTTTATACCTATTATACCTATTATACCTGATATACTACTTATACCTGATATACCGTTTATACCTGATATACTTATCCTTATAATTTCCTATCATTTACTCATCATTTTTCCCTACAACAATATATAAAATATTTAAATATCTAGATTTTAATTGAACAAAGTTATACTGTATAAAGATAAAACCTTATAGTTTTTTTGACAATTGTAAATTAAAACAAATTAAAATAAAAAGTTTATATAAGATAAAACTTTTAATTTAATTTTCATAAAATTTATAATCTTCTAATATAACAAACTTTTTAGTACAAAACATATTTTAACTTGAAATTATTTTAATTTGACACTTTATTTAAAAAAAAGGTATTTGATAAAAAAAAATTTACAATTATAAGTAATAATAACAAGTACAATATTTCTTTCAGAATTTTAAGTAAGAAGTATTAAACAAGTTATTTAAATATTTTAATTTAAAAGATATACACTTTTTAACAATACTAAAATTACTAAAATTTAAATTAAATTAGATAATTTATAAACTAGTGATAATATCTCTATATTTATTTGATATAAAACCTACTTACAATAGTAATAATTTATATATTAAATAAAACTATAGATAGAAAAAGCAGATTAACTTAAATAGATCTTTGTAATATATTTATATATCTTATATTTTAATTACTTTTAAAATTAAAGCTCCTATTAAAAACACTTTCTATATATAAAAATTTTTATTAATTATAATCTTGAGTAATATTTAGAATCATATTGTTTACAATATAAGCTTTATACTAAAACATATAATATATTTTAAAATATTCAAAAACAATAAAAAAATTAACCAGATTATTAAATAAATTAATTTTATTATTTATATAAAAAATGATTTAAAGTTAATAATTTATTTATAACAAATAATTGAACTAGTTTGGAATAATATCAATAGTATTTTTTCTATATTGGATTTTAATAATTGGATCAAAACATTAATTGAAGCTTTAATACAATCATATGATACTATTTGAAAATCACAATATGTTATAGCCAACATTTTTTTAATAAATAATATAAAATATAAAGAAAAATCATCTATTATTACAATTAAAAATAATCAAGCAATCTTCAAATCAAACTTATACAAATCCATCTTATTGTTCACAATACAAAAAAACAACTATCAATTTACCTTTTTAATCATAAAAGTCTTTATTCAAAATAATTATAACTTTTTAAATATATTACAAAATTAATTCACAAATATTATAAATTTATTTTTAGTACCGAGTAAGTATTTATAACTGCTTGGTACCATTTGACATGATATATTATAAGAGTTTTATCTTAATATTTAAAAAAGAAATATACGTAATATGTACAGTTTTTATTATAGTAATTGAAAAAGAGAAACCATTTTTTATATGAAATAAAAATTTCAATTTGGTGAATAAAATAAATAGCAATGATTAATTACTGTATTACCAATTCAGTCAATACTGTATTAACTTACTGTTAATAACAATCATAAAATTGAGTATTCAAAATAATAAATTATTATTATAAAAAATAGGTACTGTATTTGCAAAGGTAAAAGTAATTTATGATGATGTATTAACGAATTTTGAGGAATGATAACTTGGTCAACTCTTTATATAGGAATAAGAGACACGATCCGATAGGAACTGCGGTAAGTCAATTTATGAGATAATTTAGCGGAATGTCATTTATACTTATTATTCCACATGCTGCAGATATTATATTACTTTTCATATTACACATTCACATACAACGATATCGTCATTGGTTAAAATATTTACGTGAGAAAAATAAGTGTTGTTTCTATTTTTATTTTTCAAAAATTCACACAATACGCGTCAATTATTTTGATTCTACAAGAATTTTTTGCGTAATTGATTTTATTTGATTTTCGTCTAAAACAGAGGAAAAAAATCTATTATATGGGGGCATTATCTACAATTTGTACATGTAGTAAAGTTCATATAATATACAGGTCGAAATTCAAAATATTAAGTAGAACATTTAGAGCGGACACTAGGAGCGAATCCCACAGCTTTCTTTTCAATATCAAATACCGAGTAGACGTTCTTTAGGAAAACATCGCCCACCAACCATGCACCACCGAGTGCATCGCTTGCACCAATTCCTGAAAGACACATTCCTGGAGCGTTTGGAATGGTTGTTACCTTCAAGTCTCTGGGATCAATTTTATAAGACACACCACCAAATGCGAAGGAAACTTTGGAAGTAGTATTGCATGGTATTGCAAATTCACCCTGGATTACTTGCGAGCCAGGAATTTTCGAGTGAATAAAAATTGCATCTTCCGTTGGGACGAGTACGAGAGTGGTGCCAGTGTCAATAATGGCGGGTCGTTTTGTCACAGCTGAATCACCATCGACAGAAGCGGAATCTAATTTGATCAACCAAAATCCAGTGTCACCGACTACGTTGTTAAAGTTGATAGATCCAGTAAATTTACTTTTGTCGACTCCGCCTATTGTTAAAGTGCCGACATCTCCAGCATCCCGTGCACGAGAGAGATGGAAACCGAAGAACGAATTAGTCACTTTCTTTTGTCGAACCATGGTGGAGAAGGGGGTCGAGGCATTTTGTGCACTTAGGCTATCAAAAGCCATCCCAAAGATACCGTCGAATTCAACTTTAAGGAAATCATCGGACTCTATAAAAGTACGCCCAAATGTTTGATGGCAAGCTGTTATCCCAGCAATTTCAACGGTGTCTCGACCACTGGTAAGATTAACTTGACCAGCGCCATAAGTGATTCCGGTAGTCGTATTGAGGTCAACAAAAGTTTTTGATTCTGACTCTATGAAAGCCTTATGGGCGGTACATGCTGGAGATGAACAGTTTTTTGATGGAACCCAAAGGTCAGAAGAACCGGTGTCAAATATCACCTGAAAAGTTTGGCCGCCAATCTTAATAGGACCAAAATAGCCAATGTCCACATTTCCTTCATTTTGCAATTTTTCTGTGCGTCCACATTTGGCTTCATTTAGCGCATTCATAGTTGTCACATTAACCATTCCTTTATTAAACAGACCCGTAATCATCCCCTCAAATTTGATCAAATGACGCTTCTTGTGTATTTCGCGTACTTCAGTCCATTTGAGATTAGACGGAAGAGAACGCTTAACCAGGGAGACGTGATTCGGTTGGGACACAGGAAGTGACTCGACCAAGAGGGCCAATACACCAATAAATAAAATGCAGAAATATGATGTTTTCATAATTACGGTGCTGTAATGGTTTATATGACAAGAATAAATGAATGAGCAGACGCCAGTTCTACTCAGGATACAGAAAATCGAACGTTGAATTGACAGAACCCAGCCTGTCTAATAATAAGAGGATCAAGGAATGAAAGATAGAAGGGAATTCGCTAAGGAAATTCAAGATGAGAGAAGGTGTTTATATAGGTATAAAGTCAATGCCATTTCATAGTTCTTTGATTGCCCACTATAGTAATTCGTGTTCCTTCAAGATGCCGTTTTGTATTAAAGGCTTTATACAAAGTAAAAACGTGACTCATTATACTTATACCCAATGTTGCATACTAGTTTGAAACACCATAAAACGCTGGCTATCTCCTTCAACGTGGCAGTGATCTCAATTCACAATACCGTTTTCTTTGTTTTTGTATTAAAAATCTTTCAAACACTACAATGAAAAATTGTTTGCATGTAAAATTAAATTGCGTTGTTATACAATGCTATTATTGTCTTTGCCAATCACAAAAACCAACAAAAATAGGAAATCTGAATTCATTGTTAACTATTGGTTTTACTGTATTGTATAAGGTTTATAAATAAATATTGGTGTCACTTTTTCTTTTTCCAACAAAGAGTATTTTGATCGAAGAAGTAGAATTTTTTGATTTTATCACAATACCCAGAATAATATCTTGGTGTAAAATTTCCTAAATATACTATAGTATAACGTATGGTAATTTAAAATTCTAAAGCATTTCGATTAATAAATGTCTACCGCTAAAATTCGACAAAATCTTTAATTTCGATTCCTTTTTTTCTCCTTTCTTTCTCCTTTCTTTCTTTCCTTTGTTATTTATCATAACAAATTACAACTGCGCGTTTTTCTGCACGTGTCACCTTGATGACAGGTTAAATCGACAAAAATATATTGCATGCATATTACTATATTCTGCATTAAATGAAATACAGTATATTGCAATAATACTTATACGGTAATTTGCATCACAAAACAATTAATTTTTTCTAATTCATTGATGCCAAAATTATGTTACTAAATAAAACGTCATTAAGTATGCTCGATTGTTTTAATATCATAGTAAAATACTCAACATTGTATACGTAAAAATAAGTATGGTTACATGGTTACAGAAATAAATGATTGATGGCGCAATTCGTTTTCTGAAAAATTAATATTAAATATATTGTATAAAAAAAGTATACAAATAAAAAATTATTATTATTTGTAAGTTTTATTTGTAAAATACTTTTTATGAATATCTGTAATTATTTTATTGTTTAATAAAAAATTTGTATAAAGATAGTAATTAATATAAAAATCTTGTATTAAAATATAAGATCAATATAAAAATTTTTAGTTTAATTATAATCATGCTAAAATAAAATAACAAAAAATGTTTGCTTTAAAATATCATCTAACAATACAAGTTTAAAATAAATATTATATGTATTAGTTTTGATATAAAAAAACAGAAATTTAATTTTTATATATTTGTTATTACTAATTCAATAAAATTTCAATAAATAAGATAAAATTTCAGATACATTTAAAAATATAAAAAACCTTTTTATTTAAATTACTTTTTTTAAAAAAAATATTATTATTATTATTAAATATTATTTTAAATAAATTATAATAAATATATAATAAAAAAGTTTTTTAAGATAAAAAAACTCTTTCCCAAACAAACTCGCATCTGAAAAAAAACTACCAAAAAAGGAAACCAAAAATTTTTTCGTCAAAAAAAACAGTAAAGGACCCTGGAGGGTC